CTTTTTGTGCAAGATCTTTGCTTAAACCTCTTGGAGTCAACACCATTTGTGATATGCATTGCTTCCAGGACTGTTATAGGCTTTACTTTGACCTTGTGGATGTTTTAATGAATGCATATAAACTTATTATGAAGATAGCATTTGCATAATGCTATTAGTCATCTCACTAAGTAAATGTGTCTTCCAAGGAGCGGCTGTTTAGAGAGGGTACCTGACATAATGTGTCTGCCAACAGTCGTCTTGGAGCAAGAAAAGCCTCAGAATAGATGCAGCCACTGAAGAATAAGCAACGAGAGGACTGTAAGTGCAGAACAGATGCTGCAGCTGTGAAATGAAGGGCTGTCGCATCCTGCGAGCCCTTCCCCGAGTTTAAAAAAAAAGAATACTCGGCACAGCAGAAATAATGAATCATGAGCTTGTGCACTTCACTGTATGGTTGTGTTTTCTCAGACAGGAGAAGGACACTCGCTGCAGTCCAGCAACCCCCAGTTTGCTCCCGCCGTTTGAGGCGCGCTCTGGCAAATTAACTTTTTAATGTCCTCTTTTAACAAACTCCTTAATGGAATTTCAAAAACCAGTGAGCCCAAATCTGCTTACTGGGCTGAAAACTCCACATAAAATGCATTGCAGCCGTCGCTACGTGCCCCTTTAGTCCTCGAATTGCATATCTTTCACATTATGGCAAATGTCTTTCTGCTGCAGTTACAACAGCGTCGAACAGATAGTGGATGTCAAATTAATTGGTTCTCCTGCGCTTTTCCTTTCAGATAGCATCGAACACGTGCAGCGACAGTAATTTAAACTGACTTTTTGGAGCTAAAAAGCAAGACATGAGAAGGTTTTGTCAAATTAAAGGCGTGACAAATACTTTCTAAAACAACAAATATACATTTTAAATGGTCTCAGACCAGGACATAAAGTGCTGTGGTTTGCTTAATAAGTCACCAGATAAAGCAGATCAGTGGGCAATGAGGGGTGCAGGATCCTGCCCAGGGACATTCTGGCACATTCTTGGAATCAAACCCCCAACCGTCTGATTAGAAGGCATCACTGACACAAATATGATTTTTTTTGTTTGTTTCTTACAAAGTGACTAAACTTTTTTCCTTGTTTTCTGAAGGCGTTTTGATTTAAAAAGGTGTTTGCTGAGATTCATGCTTTACAAGTTCGATCAAGGGGCGCGGAACTCACATGCAAATCACTCTCTCTCCTGAGGGTCTTTGTTAGCCCCATAAGAAATGTTGTGGTCACATGCACGAAGGTGCAAATTGGTGTGAAAATGGCAGGATTAGATTCACAACTGCAATGTAAAAGTTAAAACTCATCCAGTGTCTCATGAGTGTCATGGTCAAATCATAAAGGAGGAAACAAAAGCTGCACAAATTCTTTATTAAACTATTTGTAAGAAAAAAATGCTTTTGTTTACCTGTAAAAACAGTTGGTGACTGAAAACGACTGAAAATGACTTCAACAACGTCAAAGAGCCTGAGACGGAGAAGTATGACAATTATGATGTATTTGTATGCTAAAATATGATAAGTAGGCAATTAAAAGTGTTTTGTTTACATTGAGTGCATACCCACATTTCAGAATTAGCTACACTTCAATACATTTAGAGAGCCACTCTTGAAAACTGCACCATTTTTTATAGTTCAGGAGAACTTTTTATTGGGTATGTTTTCATTGTTGCAATAATCTTGTTTTTTCTAGTCCCTCAGCATAGATTGGAGTTATTTCAGAAAAATAAGATCAAAAAGCAGATTTAAAACACACTAAAGCAGATGTGTGATGGAGTTCAGGTTAAATGCAGATGTGTGATGGAGTTCAGGTTAAATGCAGATGTGTGATGGGAGTTCAGGTTAAATGCAGATGTGTGATGGGAGTTCAGGTTAAATGCAGATGTGTGATGGGAGTTCAGGTTAGATGCAGATGTGTGATAGGAGTTCAGGTTAAATGCAGATGTGTGATGGGAGTTCAGGTTAAATGCAGATGTGTGATGGGAG